GGATGCTCCTAGTAGTACGGCCAGGAGCCCCTAGTAGCGTTCTTGCTGCTAGTAGTGATGCCCTTTGCTCCTAGTAGCTTCTTGCTACTAGTAGCAATGGCCTCCAGCCTAATAGCGATGGCCTCCACCTAGTAGCTTCGTGTTACTAGTGGCCCCAAACAATGTGGATGACAAAACATTCCATGGCGTTCATTTGTTGATGATTACCTGCTTGGTAGGAGGAGTCTCCAAACTTGACGGCCGTTCTTGCCGGCAGTGTTTTCTTTTCAAGTCCTTAGGGCCCTTGCCGCGGGCCTTTTCCTTACCTTCGTCACGGATCTCTCGATGCCTCTTTCGCATCGCATCTTGGCGAAACAGCCCATTCCGAGGTGGCCTTCCAACGCCTGGCGCAGCTGGTGCGGCTCTGTGACCGCGACTTCACCTCCAAGAATGCCCCGAGCTGAGGAACGGAACGAGCCAAGGCACGGAACATCGTATCATTACACAATGGTTACTAGCAGTTTTCGGCTGTTAGTAGCAATGCCCTTAGCAAATGAGCTACTGTTACTAGTAGCGATGCCCTTGTTAGTACTAGCTTCTTGTTTCTGTGATTCATGATGCATGTCTGCCTTTTTGCCCATCATTTGGATTTTGCATGCCGAGGTGGCATCGATTTATGCCTTAGCCAAGCAGCCTCAAGCAGATTACCGCGCGAGCACTGCAGGTTGCGGGTTGGGTTGGGGGGGGGCTTTGGTTTGGAATGGGGGCTCGCGGGGGGTGGGGTCTGGGTTTCTTCGGCATCACGCGAGTGGCGCGGGTGGCGCTCATGTCCAGTTCATTGGCCGGTTCAGGCCCGACGGGGTCTGTGTGGGAACACCAAACGGGTGAAGACTTCACCCACAAGTTGGAACACCAAACGGGCAGACCCTCCGACCACCCATGCACATCCCCAACTAGGAGCAAGGACGCTACTAAGGGCTCCTGGCATTACTACTAGGAGCAATGTTCTGTTCTGTCTCTCGCAAGTCCTGGCAGGGTTCTGGGGGTGCCATGAGTGCGACCCACGGTGACCCACAGCCACAAACGTTTTTTTTTGACATGTTGTATTTTTTGGGAGCCCTTGCAGGTGAGGCACGAGGGTTGAGCTACCCGGAGTTCTGCGAAGCTGTGGGGCGACTTGCCATGGCCTTCCCAGCCTGTTTGGCAAGTCCGAACCACCTGAACGCTCCAGACACTGGTTTCTGAAGTTGGGCGCAAGCAGTGGCACATCAAAAAGGGCATCCATCCGTGGCAATCCGTGGCAATCTATGGCAATCCGTGGGTCCAGAATGGTGAAATCAGACGTTCTGTTGAGTCTTGGTCCGCCAGATGGGTATCAGCCACTGCTCCTGGCCGTAGTACTAGTAACAAGAAGCTATTGGAAACAAGAATTAGAATTAGAATTAGAATGCTGAAGTTCTGGACAGAGGATCCGTGGTCCGATGCTGAGACAGCCAGGTTTGGAGTCGGAGTAGCTGGATGCCGGCTTGCTGCCCCAAGGAGCAAGTGGTTTCTTGTTTGTTTCTTTGTTGTTTGAGAACGAACAGTGTTTTGGCAGCCTCATATGTTTTCAGTTCATATGTCCTATGCCTGTAGCCATTTGCAGCCCCTCTCCAGGAGGATGGTTCAATGCGCGGCCGGCGTTGGCCTCCACAACCGCAGGCTCGCTTCCGACCGCAAGTTGTGGCAAAAGATAATTTCCTGACCGTTTCATTGCAAAAGTCATTGCCTCCACGTGTGATTACCTATAGCCACTATAGCTATAGCTTATACCGTGTCCCCCATCCACCCAAGCTCACTCGACATCTCCGAGGCGAACCGCCCGGTGAAGGAGCACGTCTTAGTCAAGCGGCTCGAGGCCTTTGTGAAGCGATTAGCTGAGCGGATGAAGCCCTCAGTGAGGGCAAGAGCCTCCTTTCTGTAGGACTCAACAAACATCCACATCAAGATGATGCGAGTGGTAGTGTGATGTAGTATGAGTATCTCAGGTAGGTCCTTTAGGCTCTTTTGTATCTCATATCGCTCATGTAACTGATAGGCGGTATGATGAAGAGGGATGGGTGAGGTGGAATAGTTACAGCGGTTTGCCAAAGACACCTGACAGAAGCTAGGAAGTTGATGTAAACATTTCAAGAGTCAATGGTGAACTTGAAGCGAGGAGCCTTCATACTTCGTTCTTACCCAAAGACGTGGCATTTGACCTGGAGGCCATCGCTAGTAGGTTGGAGGCCAAAGATTCTTACCCAAAGACATGGCATTAGACGTGCCAACAGGAGCAGGTTGGAGGCTAGCGCATGAATGTTTCACCGTGCCTGCAGACATGCGGGCCGTGCGGGCCGTGTGGGTGCGCCGTGTGGGTGCGCCGCGTGCGCCGCGTGCGCCGCGTGCGCTGCGTGCGCTAGTTGCATTGACGCCATAGGCGTTGAGACAAAGAGGACGAGTGCAGTCGACTCGCAAGTGAAGTAGAGCTGCTGGTTGACTTGGCAGTCTTGCTGTTGGTAGATGGCACGTGCCAGTGTAAACATGTGAATTGCGTGGGCTTTGCATTTGCCTCCCATGTGATTCGGTTCATAGGCTAATGGCTGCAAGTCAGGAATTGCCAAGACACCAGGCCCACCTGAACATGCCAATGCAACCGCCATTCGATGTAGGATGATAAAGGAAATAGCAACAGTACCTCTTTGAGATAAATCATGCGAACGCACCAAGAAATCCGACAACAACCTGAGACTCTACAAGTGTTTGGAGAGAACTTTTTATTTATGGCCTTTCCCCAAACAGTTTACTGTTCAACAACCATTCTTGCCGACTAATTATATAAGCTGTTTGGGGTCTATGCTGCTTCTCGCCCGGTGCGCTTGGGCTGAAGCCGAGGACGGAAACCAGCGAGGCGCGACTACTACTCAAAGAGCAGATCGCACTCCAGGAGAGCTGTGCGGAAGAACGCTGTAGGAAACCGTGGCGCAATGAGAGGCAACTGCTTCTAGGAGCGATCGGACGCTACTAGGGGCTCCTGGCATCGCTACTAGGAGCAATGTTCGCTACTAGGGGCTCCTGGCCTTACTACTAGGAGCAAGAAGCTATTAGAAACAAGAAATGGAATTAGAATTGAATTAGATTTAGTAGCAAATGAAGCTACTAGGACCTTTTGTTAAAGAAACAGTTGTGAAAAGTAATACTTTTAGGTTGAAGGCCATCGATATTAGGTTGGAGGCCATCGCATTGACCATTGACTTGAGCTGCTGATACTTTCTCCCAAGCAGATGGACATGTCCGTGTTGCCGTTGGGTGACCGAAGATTGCCAGGATGCGATCTTCAACTGTGGTCGAGTCGCTGTCCTGGTGCCTACCTCAAGTCAGACTTGGGGGGGTCTCAGAAAATGTAAATTGGGGCGATTTCCAGACATCTACAGGAGAACTCTGCAGATGTTTGCTCATGTGTTGTGGTCTGAGGTTGGGGTTTTGGGGATGTCACCGTAGCCCTTGTTCGTGGCCCTATGGCTTGGAAAGAGGCTTTTTCTTGACCCATTTAGACGGGGTGACGTTGACAAGTGAGGATTTCCTTGCTGTCGGTAAAGGAGCATCACTATTAGGAAGGGTCTGCAACCTAACCATCATCCGCTTCAACTTGGTTCATGGGATATACCCAACTTACCCGACACATGTCTTATTGAACATCTCTTCAGCACTTCTTTGGCGGCCGCGAGGTGGCTGCCTTTGCCACCGGCAACATGGAATGGCTACGACATGGCACGGAGGAGAGGATTTCGTGATTGGACCCCTTCATAGAATTTAGAGTGGAGGAAGCTTAACACAGCAACAGAATTCTTTGTTGAGGCCAGTTGCGGCTCCGGACATAACCTGCAGCTTGCAGACTTGCTGTCGCAGGTTATGGGGACGAGTGTTTGACGGGAGGCACTGTTTGGGGCATGTAGGTGATGCACTGACATCATCAAGATATATCAAGATGTTCCAGATCTTTTTCTAGTGCACATGCGCATCGCATGTCACCCCCCAGTTTGGGGAAGAGCAGGTTGGACCTATAAATCATGTGCTGGCCTGTCAGGACGCCTTGCACCAAGAGCAGCGGGCGTCATGGCCTTAACATCTCACGCTGCAACCAGCCATGCAACAAGCTTTAGCTGCTTCCATTCCTGGTTGTAGGCCCTTCGCGGTTTATCATGTGTGAACGAACGCATTCACCTACATCATGCTCGTTGTGCGCAGATCAAAAGAAACTATGCGTGCCTTTTGTCTTGCGCGCTTTCGGTTGCGCCGAGCCTGAGGCCCATCCATCCTCACTTGAAACCCTTGATCCGTGCCGCGCTCGACGCTGGTGCCCATGGGGCGTGGGAGCTCCCAGAGATGGGGGACAGGTGAGACGACGATGAAATGGAGATGATAGAAGGAGAGAACAGGATAAAGGTCCTCAAGTTTCATAGAGGCACAGATATGCGACTTGAGGATAGAAGTCTTATGGCTGCTAGTGGTTTGGTAGTTAGGTGATACAAGTTGAGCCAGAAAATCAGCTGAGTCCCTGAGAGGGGGCTCTGTTTCTGGCCGTTCTTTTCATCCATTGCCTCCTTTGGGGACTGTGGGGACTGAGAGGTAAATGGAACCCTTGAGAGGTACTGTGGTCATCCGTGCTCACAAGAACTTGTTTACGGTCACCAGCTTGCTGCCAGTCGGTCATAGTCGTGAATTGCAGGATGTCCACTACTTGCAAGGAAGGCACCGATAGGCACCGTACTATCCTGGCTATCCTGCTTTTGTCATGTGCTCCGTTTCCTTCGTTGCGAGCAGACGCTGCGCAGCTTGCGCAGCTCACCATGACCGTCTCGCAGGTCTTGGGGAGTCTCGGAGTCTCGCAGTTCGTCGGCTCGAAGCATGGGCTTCGACACCATGACAGCGCTGTCAGATGCAAAGGGTTATGAGAATCAAGTGGCAGCTCACAGTGTTTGATGCTTTGGAAGTTGATTGCAGTCAGGAGCGGAGACTTGTAGATCTTGTAGTTCTCAAATTCAACTTCAAGACCACACAGCAGTGAAGAAGATCCTATTGCTTGGTAGTACTGGTTTGGTTCATAGAAGTAGAAGTGAAGCAGTTGGTAAATCACGGTGAATCAACCAAATCCTCAGGGCCCCGCTTAGCAACCCTGCACAATGCCCAATGAACGGTTGGCACTCCGCCGCTGGAGATTTTTTTGTTGGCTGATTGGAGTTCAAAGCCACATGACTGTTGAATAACGTCTAGCCTTTGAATCGAGGAATGGATCACCGATTCGAGCAAAGCCACACATACTATTTTTAGGCTTGCTCGGTCAGTTTAGACTGCCTGTGTGCAACAGCCCGAGCCAGCCTGCACCTTGCGCCGCTTTGCCGTGCTTTCAGCTCTCCGAAGGCGAGAAGGTGTCGCTTTCTCCAATAGGGAGGACGAAAGTCAAGGCTGAAGCCAAAAGTGGTAGACACATGAAACATCATGAAGCACACCTGAACTGTTTGTTGATGGTACTTTTGAAAAAAATCTTTATGCCACGAGAGCTCCGTCCGCCCTTACCATCCTTCAGAACTCAAACGGTGGATGGCCCTTTGCCCGTGAAGTGTAAGAGCCAACCCGTTTAACCGCCTTCAACTGCCATGTTTGCCTTTCTTTTTTGTGAGAAGAAAGGGCCAAAACATAACACAAAGCAACGAAGAAAGCAACGGAGAAAGCAACGAAGACATCGAAAGAAGCTACATCGCCCAGCCGCCCAGCCGCCCAGCCATGCCCAGCCTCCAGGCTCATGGCTGAGGGCCCGGAGCTGGCGGAGCCGGAGCGGGTCGTGCACAAGGGCCGGAGCCTTGGGGAACGGGCTGAGGCGGAGGAGGCGGGAGGACGCGGGAGGAGTAGAACGGGAGCCCTGTTCGTAGCCTTCTTGCTCCGTTCGTAGCGATGCCAGGAGCCCCTAGTAGTTTCCTTGCTCCTGGTAGTAAGGCCAGGAGCCCCGTTCGTAGGGTCCGATCGCTCCTAGGGAAGGAGATGGATCAGTTGAATCACTTTGAGTTCAATCACTTCGATCTACTCACGGAGATTTGCACATTGGTTTGCCCTAACCGAGTTTTCTCTGAGCCTGCAGGGGTATCCAGCAACACGTGGATCATTGGTCACCATCAGACAGTCAGCACCGCGACAAAAAGGAACTAGTTCAGGACAGATGGCTTTGGTGAGTGAAGGAAACAAGCAAGACAATGAATTGTTTAGATGTTCGGTGTTTTCTTTTTCTATCGCTACTAGGTTGGAGGCTAAATTCGGGGTGTCGCTGAAGAGTGGGATGATTGGCGGCGCCCACAAGTCTCATCTAGCTACATCCATAGTAACAACTTTAGAAACGTGCGTCTACGCGTCTACTTGCAACATCTTGTACTTCACATGCAAATGCAGCTTTAAAATTCTCAGGTGTACTTATACACATCTCTTACTTCTACATAACCTTTCCTTCCACGCTCCCGGGCCACCGTTGTCTAGTTTTTTGTTCTTTCTTGCTTTTTATTTTTTAAAGCTAAATTAAGTCTTTCAATCCGATCTGCCCGCCTTGCCTTCTGTGCCACTGCGCTGCAACGCTGCTACGGGTAATCGTGAGGCCGCCGGCACAAGCGGCGGCGCCACCGGAGTCGAGGCAGATGGATCCTTGAGAATGGTGGTGGGCTGGTGAATGGGCAGATTTGGGCTACCCATTCGGGAATCCAACGATTTGGATTTGGTGGAGTTGACTGATCTGGTCGAATCCCACCATTTGTTTTTTTGTGTCGGATCTGGTGGAACTGTTTGACCTCGCCCAGTTCGGGTTGAACTGCTTGGGTTCACCACCCCAACGACCCGGCGTTCTTCTGCAACAAGTCCGCGACATGACGACGTGGTGATCCGACTGCCATAGCCGGTCGCAGGAAATGAGGGAAGCTGCGGCAGCAGGCTTGGTGCGAGTTGCGCCCACGGAGGGCGCCTTCATCGAGCAAAAAACATCAAAAAACGCATCAGAATCAGGATGATCCTGATGTTGATGTTAGATGTGGCTAAATGTGGCGAGTGAATGCTGGTTTGATTTGGTATCATTTTTCCGTGTGATCCTTCTTTGGACAGGTCGCATGGGAGTGCGCCTGGCAGGGGCGCCAAGTGTCGTCCTTTCGTGTTTCCAGTTTTTGGCTCCCAATGTTTCCGGGCAAAAGATCCAAAGAAGAAGGAAAAAAAAGGCAGAAGAAAACCAGGAAACGCATATGTTTAGTCTTTTTCTTTAGAAGACACCGCAACAACAACAAAAAAAACACAGATGAAAAAGAAAGGAAATAAGACTTAAAAAAGGACAGAAAGGGTCTAGAGGTCTAAAGGTCTAAAGAAAAAGGACTCGTGTAGTGTCCATTTCTTTGGCTTAACATGCTTCCAGCCTAAGGCAACCCCCCAAGGCCCCAAAGCAGAGGAAAGGCATGGACCAATGGAATCCGAGTCATGTTGTTCATGTCGTCTCTCTTGTTGGGTTGTCCACTGCAACTGGGCTTGACTGATGGACGTCTGATAGGCAGTTCTGTGACTTGAAAATCTGAATGCGAATGCATTTGCACAGAGTTATCAAAGCAACACGGTTGTATTTTGCCTGCATTTTGCAGTTTCACTGTCCAAACAGCAAAACAATCTGATGGTTGTCACTTTTCTTCTTTTATTTTAGCTTTGGCACTTCGTATTTAGTGGTGTACTTGGCCTTTTGCGAGTGATAGGGCGTAAGGCGCAAGGACCCAGCACTCAAGTCAGGCCAAAAAATGGGCCCTTTGTTTTCGTCATAGTAGGCAAGAGCGAGAAAGACCAAACTGTTTGCGAGCATGTGTTAACCCATGTGTTGACCTTTGTTGAATGCTTTGGTCAAAAAGGTTGACCAGGCAACAGTGCCCAAAGCTTCTTGTGCCCAAGCTTTGTTTGAACGGTGCTACCGCAGTGTCAGTGTTCAGGTGTGTTCAGGTGGTTGAGTAGCTGAGAGGCACCATGCTAGGCACCAGTTTTCTCAGCATGGCGGCGCCACGGAAGCCCGAGGACATGTTCCAGGAAGATGCTACCATTCCACCAGAGCCCGAGCTGGCACCACAAGAGGAGCTCCAAGAACTACCATCTCATGAAGCAGATGAATTTCAAGATAAATTTCAATACGAAACTCACGAAGCAGAGGAGCCTCAACCCAAGACACCCCGAAGGTCCTTCTACACCTGGACTTCGAATTTGCCTGCAGGCATACCCGGGGCTCCCACCTTCCGGATGCATGCTCGGCATGTGATGCGCTTCGAAGAGTTCCGCGAGGAGGTCGAGGCTTCCCCCGCCAAGTTGGAGATTTGCGTGGCGAGAGCCCGGCAAAGAGACTTCGGCACACGGGGGCCACAAGTGAGATTTCAGAGCCCGGCGTGAGATGGTAGCCACTTCAGTGAGTGCAAAAAAGAGTTTCAATAAGGGAGCTTTAGCCACAGTGGCCACAGTGGCCACTTGCTTGCCACCTGCTGCCAGCTGCTGGTTGGCTGGTCATCCAGTTGCTGAGCAGCATCGTTGGCTGGTCGTGTGTGTTTTGGCATCGCCCATGTCGATGGCAAGACTTAGCCTGTCCAAGCTGATGGGGGTGGGTATTTCAGTGAAAAAAGAGCAGCAACAGCGTATCCAAGCTAGAACAGGTTCCGGCATATGTTCAAAACAGTTTCTGGAAGCCAGGCCTATGGCCAGATTGGACGCAGGGGCCCACCCCATCTATCAGGGCTATCCTGATACTTCAGTCGTAGGTTTTTAAAGTTCCAGTTTGTTGCTGACCTGGCAGCCTCGCCTCTGTGCTCGTTGGCACCATCCCAATGATTTCAATGCTCGTTGATTCGCTTCCGGCAAGCAAGCACGGGTGAGGCTGCCTTAGATGTGCTTCGTTCGACATGTTGTTTTGCTCAAACAGAGTTGGGCGTTTGTTAATGCTACCCAGCTCAGGTTTGCTTTTGTGCGCATGCAGTGTGGCATGTTTTTCCTTCCTTGCATTGGGCAAGGAATATTTTTGGCATGTTTTTCCCCTC